GGGGGGGGGGTGGACTGCAAGATAACAAAAGTGTGGGAGTCTGAGGCGGAGATAGCGAAGATAAGCGGCTGGACTATGGGAAAAATCTGGAAAAAAATCAAATAATTGTTGTTTTTGGTGGCGTCAGCAAGGGAGGGAGATGAAGAGCAATGCGAGAAGAATAATCACCACCTCTGGAGCGAGATATGGTTGGAGCACCACTGCTACCCTTGCACACAAAGCTAAAAGGGAAAAGTGCGAGGCCAATGATTGTCCCGATACAAATACACGAAAAAATCTAACCCGAGATACCAACGACAACAAATCAGTAGACCTAGGATAACTAGAGTGGCCCTATCCTTTTGGACGACACTCCCAAAGGACTCAGAGGACCGGCTGGCTCTCAGGAATTCCGGACCACTTCGGTCAAGGGCGCTTTGCGGACACTTTTACATCAATGATGTAGGCGCTCGCATCATGATGTGTGACGGACCCATAACACATAGGTCCCATAATTGAAACCCCTCTTTAATTGATTTTCTTCAAGTGCTTGAACTTGCTGTAGGAATGGTCCTTTATGTGTTAGCAGAAAAGGGGAAGCAGAGGTTTGATAATTAGAGTTATTTGAAGTGGTGTTAGGGTAGGCAAAGCTAGACTCAGTCTATTTGGCTGAGAGCATGCAATGGTTTTGGAAAATTTTAGAATTTCTGAAAGGGAATTTTCAGGATGTGAAATAACTGGGAGATTAACGGAGATGGTGGAAATATTTGGTTCTGGAAAATTTTAGGAACCTTAGTTTTGCCAAATGGATGTATAATGCCAACTTCTCAAAATATTCCAGGGTAGATGGTGGAAATATTTGGTTTAATGGGAGAAGAGTGTATCAAAGTCAAAGATTGAATTTCACTTGATAACTTCGATAGGAAAAAAAAATACATTAGCTGTTTGATTCTAAAGAAAAATTTATCAAATACAAGTTTGGTATGATAAAAAATAAATAACTCCTCACCAAGGCAAGGTCTCAGCCGCCAAGCACAAGTTCAAAAACATTTCCAAATTTGATTCAAAACCTCATTAAATATTTTTTACAGCAATGCAACTTTCTTTTATATATTTCCTATTGATTTGACATTTGAAATTCAAATTTTCTAAAAAGAGAATTGATTTTATGTTGTGAGGTTGGTTGTGTCGATTACTTTGAGGGGGAGAGACACTGCCTCTTTTTTCATGGGGAGTGAGATGAGGTGGCTGCTTTGATGATGATGAAAACTTATTGGCTCTCTTTTGTCTTTCTTTTGATTAATCTAAACAAGTCTCTAGACATTCTTATTCCTTTGAAAGTCCCTTAATTGGGAACTTGTTGGTTGACTCATTGTCTTCATATGCTTGTCACCATATTATCATACATTGCTTTGATAGGCTCAGCTATCTTTGTAAAACATCCTTTTCTTTGTAGGGTTCATTATATCGATTTGATCATAAGATCTCTTAAGATCAATAAATAATATGAAGATTCTTTTATGCTCATTAATTGCTTTGGCACACAAATTTTTGCCATGGTAGAATTTTTATGTGCATAGCTTCTTTTCTATAAACATTTTGTTTCTTACACCGGGCCTTTCATGATACTCTGGGGTATCTAATCATTTATTTCGATATATTATTTTTTATATTCTTCTTTGCTATATCTATAGATTAGGTTGTTGTTTGTTGTAAGCTAGATATGGTGCCTTTGTGAAAATAATTATAATATGAGCTAATGTTAATTTCATAAAAAAAAAAAGTGAGGCTATAAACGAATTTAATTAAGTAATGAGTCACCCTCTTATTCAGGCGACCTTATTATTTTAATATCATCGACCTAAATAGATACTATCATAATTAGTCTTAAAGCCCAAAAAACTATACTATCAGATACAACGTTTATTTTTCTCTTTTTTTTCTCTATTTTATAAGAACGTTGGTGTTGGAAATGCTTGCAGTTTGGTTGCTAGCATGGCGCATGTGGGTAAACAAATGATTCTCTAAATATTGCTTAATGGCGCATGAATCTTCTAATCTTCATACATAATATCTAAACGTGATATGTTACCTACAACAATTTTCACCTCTTAGGAAACTAATCATATGGTATGTTTTTTCTAAATTGATTTCAGATCTTCTGGGAGATCAATGCTGCATAAGAGAGGGAAAGTAGAATTTCATCCCATAGGTGTGATTGGAGCAATTATTTCTTGGAATTATCCGTTTCACAACATTTTCAATCCAATGCTAGCTGCTGTTTTCTCTGGAAATGCTGTGGTTATAAAGGTATATTACTTGAATATCATGCCTTTGGTTTCATAGATGTTGTGTATGGATGGTTAAGGGTTGGGTTTAGGTTGTGTTTGGCTTTTCTTGTTTCAATCTTTTTGTTCATATTTAAACCAAGAGCCTGGATTTTGGTAGGCTTCTTTTTGGGGCATGCCCCTTGTACAGAATGGGTTTGGATTTGAAAGTTATTTCAAGGAATACAAATTAATTAAATTTTATGATCTTTTTATTTTTTTTTTTCCGGTCAAATTAAACATTGCATCGGTAACACATGTAATATAACATGGTCAACTGTTAGGTTATGATATGACAACCTAGTTGGTAGGCTTTGAGGGCATACTAACCCATAATAAATGGTTCAAAACTTATGCTGGACAAGGTTTTCATATCATTAAGTAACAATTGATATGACAACCAGCGGGTTGGCATGCTAATCCTTGTTTATGATAAATCCAACAGGGAAAAAAATTAAATTTATTTTAATATAATTTAAATGACATAATAATGAAATAATAACAATGTTTTCTCCAATGTAATGTATGATATTCTATATCAAATCACTGTACCATTGAATATTTTGAATAATATTTTAGATTAAAATTTTAGGACAATATTGTTTCTCTCTATTTATATAGTTATGTACAATGCTTATAAATATATATAGAGTACTATCACTAAATTTTAACTTCAACAAAGACCAAAAATAGAAGAAATTTCATGAACCTTTCTTTTTATATTCATAAGATATTTAATTTCAATTTGAGGAATATAGATTTTAGTAGCTCTTTTAATCCAAATTTTTTATTTCACCATATGATCAAAATCATACCATCATAAGTTAATTATCACTATAGTGGGGCGGTCCATCAAAGTTTGGTCTGATTCACAGGTTCTTTTGTTCAACCTCCGGTTCCAATAGATTTTGGCTGCTTCTATGCGAAAGTTGCTTTGGAACTATGCCAAACTAGCTGAAAGATTAGTTCATAATTGAACTAGTCAGATCGGATGGTGCGGCCCTATTTTTAAAACCATGTCCCTATACTTGGGAACTTATTTAAGAGTACTCATACTAAAATTTAGTTGGATGCAAATACCTCAAGCTTGTTTTGGGAATATGGTTTTTGGTCACCTTTGATTTACAAAACCTGGCATATCACTGTTTTAGTTTAGTGGAAACATGCGAAGTATTAGCTGTATGCTTCTTCTGCTCCATGATTTGGAAAACCATTAGCGGCACACTTTTAGAGCAGATTTTTAGTCTTCGATGTAGTAGCCAATGGTTTTCTTTCGAATAACATTAGCATATCGCTGCAACCCGACAATTACCAAATTAATTCATGCTCAAACCTCGGAATTTATCTTTTTTACTTTCTTGTCATGTTAATGATTGGCATTTCATATAATGTCTCTCAAATTAATGTGAGGGCCATGTTTTGGTTGGGTACAGAAGGAAACTTAGGCTCCATACCTCCAATTTTCTTCTGTCAAACAACGTAAATTCTGGCCATTTCATTTAATATGCATTTTCTTGCCGGGAGCTTTCAAATTATTCTACAGTTGTATATCCAAGATGTATTCCTCTTTGTTGTGTATATAAAACTTCTTTTTCTAGTATACATTTTTATTTCTTTTTCTTCTTGAACTAGCAATATTCCATTTGATTTCCGAACTAGCAGAGCTCTGCATGTTAGAATCATCCATCCATAATACAGGTGCTACATTACTAGTTATTATCAAATGTAGCTTGATTTAGTGGAACTCATTGTTTTTTGAGAATATACTCTGTTCATTCTTCTTGGTTGATAACTCGTAAAATGGCTTCCACAAGAAAGCTTGCTTCATATTATCTAATTATATCAAAGATCTAGTTGAGCCACTCATTCAGAGCAAGCTTATAATTGAGTGTTTGGCAATTAGCAGGCAGCTCTATGTTTGTCAAACTTTTTTGTCCTATTAAATTCAAGCAGAAATTACTTAATTGTGGGCTGAGTCTATGAAGGTGCATAAAAGGTTTTTGTGCTGGGTCGACAAAGATCTATAATTGTGTTGAAAATTATTGTGGTTTCATGTCAGATGCAAATTTAATGGAACCATTTTGAGTATGGTCAAATGCTTTTGGTCATATCTTCTCCTATTCACTAGCAAGATTTCTTTTTTTATTGTTTTCTTTTATTTTAATACTTGCTTGCTGTTATTGAAGCTGAAGTTAACAAAGTTTTGTTTTAGTAGCTTACACAATAACAATTAGTTTTGATGCAGGATGTCTTAGGACTTCGGGTCTATGGTTCCTAGTGTAGTTAGATAAATTAGTGGATGTAGATTGCAAAAAATATATTTGGATTCAGTAGTTTCAAAGAATAATTATTATATAAGGATTCATAGAAAGTCTTTTGTGTCATGTTAAAGAAAAATTATGCGGCTTAGTAAAAATTCTCTTTTGGATGTGCAAATCATTTTTCCTTTAAAGATTCAAATTAGTGATCTAGTGTGCGACTTGAAGTATTCTTGGAGATACAATCTACAGTTACTTTCTACTTTTTTCCGGACTATTCTATTGTTATTGACTGAACTCACAATTATATTTTGTTAGATGCACATTTTAATTTCTTTTATATACACAATTTTAATCCCTTTCATGAATTGAGTGATTCTTAATTTTCTTGACATTAATTTGTATTAAAGTTTTTAGAATTTTTACCTCTATATTGAAATTTTATTTTGTTTTAGTTTTTATTGACTGTATGTAAATTTTGTTTGAAGGCTAATTGCTTACTTTCTCGTCAAATTTGCATGTTTGTGGTAGTAGTAGAACACACACACACAGCGTGCATGTGTGCCTGTTATATTATGCTAGATGTGCATTAAAAATCCTACGCCCGGGAACTGATACTTCACCCCCCAGCTCGGTTAACCTGACTTCATCCTCTCCACTTTAGATTTCTTCATGGCAATTATCTACCAAATTTTTGTTGACGCTATCCAACTACTTAAGAGAATTTGGTACACTAGAAGTGCTTGCCTATGTATAAAATAGAATTAGAGATTGATATTTGAGTAAAGTTGAACCAGTTTGGTTTGAATTGATATTAAAATAAAAATTAGTTTGTTTTTTAATTGAGGTTAACACTAAAATAAGATTTAATTGATTCAAGCTAATACAATTAACACTACCGTTGCCGGTCCCAAGCCTGGATGTGAAAAGTGAAGGGTTGCGCTAGGTAGTCGACAACCAGCGTAAAACTTGTCAAAAAAAATCATGACATGAATCCTTTTGATCATTGTGTAAGTGCTAGGGCGTCATTTGGAAGGGACGCGCTGTATAGCCTGAATATAGTGAAAAATATGCAAGGGCCGCTACACCGGCGCCCGGGGGTGGGGTGTAGTGTTAAATAAGCAAGGGTTCCCACATTACGGGCTAGTCCATGAAACTAATGAAACTAATGAAACTAATATTAGGATAGGATCTTGGAATATAGGCACTCTCAATGGTAAATTAATGGAATTAGTTGATATTATGATTCATAGGAAAATTAATATCTTATGTATTCTAGAAACTAAGTGGGTTGGAGAAAATGCTAAGGAGATTGATAATTTAGGTTTTAAACTTTGATATTCTGGTAAAAGTCACACTAGAAATGGTGTAGGTGTAATTATATATAAGAGTTTGAAAGATAATGTTGTAAAAATTAATAGAGTTCGAGATAAAATTATTGCCCTTAAGATTATCATTGATGCTAAGATTTTTAATATTATAAGTGCTTATGCTCCTCAAGTAGGTTTATATACAGGGTCTAAAGATAAATTTTGGAATGACTTAGAAGACTTAATACTAATGATACCTCTTGAAGAAAAAATTTTTATTGGAGGAGATTTAAATAGACATGTCAGTAGAGTGGTAGAAGACTTCAGAAATGCTCATGGTTTTGGAGTGACTAATAAAGAAGGTAGAACTATTTTAGATTTTGCTTTAACGTATAATTTTGCTATCACTAATACTTTATTAAAGAAAAGAGATGAACATCTTTTTACTTATAAGAGTGGATCTAATAAAACACAACTTGATTATTTCTTTATGAGAAGAAGAGATCGTCGCCATTGTAAAAATTGTAAGGTAATTCCAAGTGAAAATTTAAGTACCCAACATCGTTTATTAGTTCTAGATTTTAAGATTAAGAGTTGTAAAATAAAAAATACTAGAACTCATCATCGTAGAATTATATTGAGAAACATAAAGACACCAATAAAAATATTTTTATGAGTAAAATTCAAGATTTCAAAATTTGGGATATTCATGAAGAAGCAAATGTTACGTGGGAGAAAATAACAAACACTATTAAACAAATAGTAAAAGATGTGCTTGGAGAATCAAAAGAAAAAAAATTTATAAATAAAAATAGTTGGTGGTGGAATAATAATGTGCAAGAAAAGATAAAATATAAGAAGTTATGATATAAAAATTGATTTAAATGTAAAAACTTAGAGAACTAAGAAAAATATCAAATGGCCCGCAGGGAGTCTAAAAGAACAATCTGTGCCGCTAAAAATTTTGTTTTTAACAATTTTTATAATAAATTAGATACTAAGGAGAGTGAAAAATATATGTATAAACTAGTCAAACAAAGAGAAAATAAAAGTAAAGATTTAACTCAAGTAAAGTGTATTAAAGATGAAAATCAAAAAGTACTTTTCTTAGAAAAATATA